TTTGTACTCGCGACTCAAAAATAAGAAAAAAAGGAAATAAATAGAAAGAAAGAAAACGGAATTTCCCACAAATCAAATACTGAAAGTACACAGGAAAATGGTGCTCTGAAAGTTAGAACTAGCAGCGGCCTAGGCTTTCGCAACTCGATAAAAACTCTCTCTGCCGTCTCCCTTCATCCCTCTCTCTCTCTCTCTTTTCTCCCTCCCTCTCTCTCTCTCTCTCTCTCTCTCTCTCTCTCTCTCTCTCTCTCTCTCTCTCTCTTCTCTCTCTCTCTCTCTCTCTCTCTCTTCTCTCTTCTTCTCTCTCTCTCTCTCTCTCTCTCTCTCCCTGCTCTTCCCTCTCTCTCTCTACTCTCCCTGCATCCCCCTCCTCTCTCCCTCTGTTTCTCCCCCCCCCCCCCCCCACTTCTCTCTCTTCTATGCATGTCTGTCTACCCGTCTTTCTCTCTCTCCGACTGTTGCACGGCTGAAAATATTTCATGCAGTAGCTTACGTTATCCATTCTCTCTAGCTTCTCTTGCCTCCTCCCTCCTCTGCCTCTGAAGCCATAACCCTGTCATCAACATACAGCAGTTCACATCCACCAGATCTCCGATGGACATCCTCACAGAATCCATCAACTGCACAAACAGTAAATAACTAAGTGCTGACCTTTGGTGCAACCCCCTCCCCCCCCTTCTCTCTCTCTCTCTCACCTCTAGCTGCACTGAACCATCCCAATATAAGTCCTTTTCTGTTGCAAGTATTCACTTTTGCAATTAGGGGTTGGTTCATGATGAACCCAGTGTTACTTTTCCCTTTATAGATCCAAGATGCATGTGTAGTGTCATTTTTGTTCCGTTGTGCAGTTCTAGGACCTCTCCCTTCTATCTATACAGCATAATCCGTGTCCATTTTCTTGTTTTTTGTTTCATTTACATAATCTTTTCATAATACTAACCCCCGATATATATATATATATATATATATATATATATATATATATATATATATATATATATATATATATATATATGTGTGTGTGTGTGTGTGTGTGTGTGTGTGTGTGTGTGTGTGTGTGTGTGTGTGTGTGTGTGTGTGTGTGTTAATATTTCTTTGAAATGATCTGACTTATCCCTACTTGTCTTGTGTTTTTGCAGTCCGATTTCACTGATATCATATCGTTTTTATATCATCTGTTGGCTGTCTCTGTTGCTGTTAACTTTTTTTATCAGTTCACATCCTTCTCCAATCATTTCATATTTCTTTCTATTGCCGACCATCTCTTCGTTAATTATAGTATTTGCTCTTCTGCCCCGTTGCTCTTTTTCTTTTCCCTTTTCAGCGTCCGTGCGTCCAGCGACGTCTTCCGCTGCCTCTGTAAAAACTCTTTCTGTTCCTTCGCTTCCTCACGTCCATTTCTTCGGCCTCTGTTTTTTCTTATCTCTTACTGATTTTCGCGTTGCGCAAGATTCTCCCAGAAATTATCACTTATGTTCCAGCTCCTTCGTTTATTCTTTCTTCCCTCGCACCCAAAACTTCCCAGAGTCTCAGCATACTCGTCGTCCTCACGACTAAATCTGTCCCGAGTGTAATCACCTCCGTTTCGAACACTTCTTTCGTCTCTCGCAGTTCACCCTCCCCCCCCCCTCCCTTGAGTCTCCCTGCCCCTCCTCAGCCTTGCTTCAGCTTCACCATCTCTCAGTCTTAATCCACTTTCCTCCTCCCCTCCTTCCTTTGTCCTTCTGTTCCCGAACAAGGGGTCCTACCCTCACGCTCACCCTATCCGACCTTATTTCACCCCTTAGCCTTTTTCGACCCAACTCAATTTACGATTCATCATCTTGCTTTATCATTATCGCCCTTTTTCTTCTCCCTCCTTCCTCGCTCCCTCCGTTCTAACTTGCATTTACGGAAAATCGTGTTGCCGGCGCGAGAGTCCGAGGTCCTGCGCCGATCTACGCTGAACCAGTTTGGGAAAAGAGCGATTCGGAGTCGGGAAGTGCTGCGGGTATTGCCTTTTTCAAAGAGCGCCTGTAACCAGCGTGTTTGGATTTATTGTATATAGTATGTTTTAGTTAAAGTAAAGCTGACAAGCTGTGGACCGGTTTAGATGTTATGCACATTGTGTAAATGTTCGCTTGCATACAAGACTGCGTTACTCTGCACAGTATGAATATCTGTCAGGCTTAAACGCTTTTCAGTTTTGTCTCACGAAAGTGCAATTATGCTCTAGCCTTCAGAGAAAGACCCGAAAACACACATCTCACTGAACACACGAGCGGACAGCTTTGGAGACGAACGGCAGGTGTTGAGCTTCCAACTTCTCAGCTTCTCCGCAAAGGTTAGCCGGACTTCGGGAAAAGGGCGAGAAGCACTGGGATTTATTCAGGTGCTCGGAGAGGAGTCGCCCGGGATGGCGACGGAGCAGCGTGCCATTAGCGGCTCTGCGAGTGGCGTCAGTGAGATCAGAGGAGGCAAGAATTCCGAGGTGTGTCACCGAGAAGCACTCGCTCCATGACAAGACTAATTACCTAATTATAGGCCTAATCTCAACACGATACCAAACGTCTCGTGGCTTCTCGACAAGGATTTTTTTTCAGCAAGTCATTGATATACTGAAACCTGCCGACAAAATCGTAATTCTGCATATAGACCTTTACTCATAGGAAAACACGAATACATTTTCCACAGTTCTATCTCGCTGATTATGTTGGAAAGAAGACAAACGTTAGACTTTTTACCAGTCCCATACCACAAACTAACCTCCTTTTCTCTAATCCCTCGCGACTGTGTACAAACCGTTTCCTAGCTGTGAAAGGGTTGTCCCTGAATGCCACTTCTACAAATGTCCTTCTGCCTCCCAAGAGGGTATGCTTGATCTCACTATACCAACTTTTCTTATCACTCTCGTTTCCAGTGTCGCGACTCACCTCAAGCTTCTGGCCGTCTGTAAGTAGCCGGAAGAAGTGCATACGCCGAGGTAGGTTCTGTGGCGCTCTTCCGGCAAGGGACCATATCCCTAGCTTTCTAAAGACCGTTATGAACATTGAAAATTATTGGAATGTTTACAGCAATCTTTATCCGCGAGACATATCTTCTCTTATCACTTTCATCTCTTTTATTCAAGGAACTCATTCGTATTTTTATCAACAGAAACATGATTTTTGTCAGTGAATAATAATAAAGAAATAATACACATCCTGAATCCCAAAATTCGCCGTATCTTCCACAATAAGATAAACCAAGTATCCAGCGATGTGTTTACATCCGGGGCTTGCAGAACCCGAACCTTCGGAAGTGACTCGGGATGCGCGCTCGGCGTCGTGCTGCTGCTTTGTGAACGCGAACCCGAACACCTTTCCAAATGTTCGGGTTCGGGTTCCCAACGAACTAGGGGTATGGTCCGTCCCCCCCTCCACAAGAGGAACGGGTGACCTTGCCAGACAGTCCCGCTCGACGCCCTGTCCCTGCGCTGAAGGCCGCCGCCTCCTCTCCTTTCATCGCTTGGGGACACACAACTAGTCTATAATGTCAATCGACAAGTAATAGATCCGCCGTTGTGTTTCTGGTGGTATTGGCAGCAGTTCTGTGTTAAAGTAAACACTGGCGTCTGCATGCGCTGTTGATTGAACATGTGGATTCCGAGATATCATAGGATCCGCACCGAAGCTGAAGGAGATATTGCAAACTTTGGAAGACGAAAATGCTATCGACAGACATCCGACCATTCGTGTAGGAACACCTACTTTCTCGAAAATCTAATAATGCTAATTCTTTGAGACTATTTAATAGTAACTTATTTATTTATCCACCGTGTGAACATAACCAAAATGGGGAAATATAATCAAGCCGCTGATTTATTCCCTTCAAAATGGAGTAACTTCCTTTACGCATCTAATGTTACATTCCTCCTCTTCAACCGTCAGACGACTTTCTCCGGGAACGCCATGAGATTACGCCGAATTTCCTCCTTAGACCGTCGCCATTTCTGAGTGGGAAACAAATTTCTTGAAACCACCAAAGGAACTTGATATCATTTGCCTCTTAATTTCGTCAACTGCTCATTTTCTGCGAGTCGTTTAGTGTCTTGAGCGCCGCCTCAGCCGCTTCTTCTGTCGACCTTGCAGAACTCTTTTCCTGAACCAGAACTTTCGCCATCAGGCCTGTCACTCAAGACTCATCCAGGTACCCCCCCCCCCCCCCCCCGCTCCTCCACCTCCCCTGCTGCGGCTGACGACGCTGACCTCGTCTCGTCACTGATTTTTCATGCATTTTCGGTTATTGGTTAAAATGATACCATTATTATCCTTGTTATCATTATAATAATAATGATAATAATGATCACAATAATGACAGTAAATATGTAAAAATAATAATAACAGTAATTGTACTAATAATGGTACTAATAGCATTAATGATGATGATAATAATAATATTGATAATAGTAATAATAATAATGATAATAGTAATGATAATAATTATAATAATAATAATAATAACTAATAATAGTAATGATGATAATAACAATAATTATTATTATTGCTATAATTATCAATATAAGGTGTTGTAATATTAATAATACTATTATCATCGTTGACATTATTATTATCATCTTTATCACCATTATTTTTCATCATCATTATCATTATCATCATCACTGGCATCAATGTCATGGTTATCCAACACAGAAAAAATAGCTTTCTTTAGCTTCGTATCTCCCTCCTGGGTTGTTATTAGGAAATAACGTTCCTCGTGACTTAGCAACTAGCCAGTCAACAAATGAACGAACAAAAAAGCAAATGTCCGACTCAGTGACTATTCATTCATTCATTCAACCAATAACCCAAATATACAACCAACTAACACTTGATAAGCTAGCTAGCTAAGAAACCAACCGTTTATCTAACTAACCATCTTAGTGAGTAATTATTCAACAAGTGAGCCAACCATTCAACTTGCTGACCATCCCCGTTAACCGACCAACCATTCAACTAACAACTAACCAATAAACTAACGAA